CTGGAATCATCCATTGGACAAAAGCGCTTGTCCTGGTCACAATTGTAATGTTATATATATATCACATCATTATTTTATTTGTTATGCATCTTTGACTTAATGTTGTGACAAAAGCTTCAGATAAAATTAAAATTCTATTTTTTATTTCAGTACACTCTAAAAGTTTTAAAATTCCCTGGTTAAAATTATCTAAAATTAACACTGTTTGGCGTGACTTGTGAAATCTCCATAACCTCCTGCTTAAATTTCCTGGTTATGATTTAACCACAGACAGTCCTGGTTAATTTTATCATAGTCCTTAATCTAATTTAACCAGGAGTCCTGGCTAGTATATTTAACCAGGCTATATATGGTTGAATTAACCCGATTATGCTAGGTGGATCGGATTTCATATTACAGATGTTTTATGCGGAATGTACGTAATGATGTATCTATATATACGTGCATAAACAGCTCCCATGAAACTAAAATCTTATGCAATAATTATATACTTCTGTCAATAACCCTGCAGTGAATTCGTTGAAACATGCAGGCATATTGTAAAAGACTGGACTGGAATACGTTAATTTTGGATATGGGGACATTTTCATATATAGGGACATTTTGGATTTTGAGATTTTAATATTTTTATATTTTTAGCGCAGTGCGAAGACGTCATGAGGGTCAAAATGAGACTCGTCAAAATGAGACTCTAGCTTGCTGCAATTAATTAAGGGTTCCTCATCTTAGGTTTCCATATTATGATTGCAACAATAACATATGGTCAAAAATATGGTTTATACGTAAAGCAATCAATATAAAAACGCATCAAAAGCTATCATGAAACCGAAATTCTTACGCAATATAAATAATATACACCCGTCAATAATCCCCTGTCTTCAGCGAAACATTGCAGAAGGCACGACATGGATAACATTCACATACATAGTTCGCATAGTTTTACTACGATGGATCGGTTGACCTACGTAGATCCGGGTTATAGGGATCAAACAAAACCTGCAGATTTGTATCTTTGCAAAACAAACAAGCTTGTACGTGCACGGGTGCATCAACAACGCGGTTTGTTTACTATATTCAAGTTTCAAAATAGAAAAATCAATGTCTCTGTTTATCAAATGTTTATTGATACAGCTAATAAAATAGGTCCTGCATGATAGGTTTGGAAACTCGGTGAAAAAGTATCGGACCAAAGGACCATTTTGCCCCATGCAGAAAAGTATTTAGTTCCCAGAAAAGTATTTAGTTCCCAGAAAAGTATTTATAGTTCCCAGAAAAGTATTTATAGTTCCCAGAAAATTTGGGATGGAAGAAAGAAAATTGGAAAGGAATGAGCGAAAAAGAAACAAAGCAAAATAGATTTGGGAGGGAGAAATGGATGGACTAAAGTGGATGGCAAATGCGAGGTTATAAAATGGCTTGAAATTCAAGGGTGGATAAATTATACAACTTATATTAATTTAGGGAATGTTATATGGTCTACTGCATGTAAAAACCCACATAAAAGAACCAAAGGGTTTAAACCACAAGCCTACAAAAATCACTTAATCAGGCTGACAAGTGAGACCTGCATGTTCTAAGGGCATGCGGTATAGGCAAGTATTGGCAGATATAAACTTGATTTGACACCATTGCATGCAAATGCATGCGAAAACATAATCTGCATGTTGTGTGGTACGCAAAATCTTTGACAAAGAGGATACATTTTATAAATTTCAGAGGCTCTTAAATAGCAATTATCAACAGCGAACTAATTAGGGAAACAAATAACTTCAAACACTATAAAATCATAAAAAAAACAGAAATAAGACCCAGTTAATAAGAACCAGCTCAATTGGCATTTTACAGAAACCGTTTTGTTCTGTAACAGCAGTGGTCACACTCACTCACAGCAAGTCCTGGCTCTATCAAAGTTACAGTTATCACATTAGGAATTTTGCATAGCCATAGGTTATAAATTCCAAGTTGTGAAGGATTTGTAGGAAAAGATTGGAGGGAAACGGTTTGAGGAACTGACTAAACATTTCTTACAAACCCCTCAAAACTTAAATTGCACGAAACACTGTTTGGTCAGTTTGAACATTGTGTTTAGTAATGTTGGATTATGTGGGAACACGTTGGATAGGGTTTCACTTCATTCAAAATTTGCATCCTACATTGTTTGACCAACACATGGCCAGAAATCACGGACATGACAAATCACGTTGCGTTGAAATATGGCTTTAACATGCAGTGAAATATATAAGTAGTAAAGTAGAGTAAAGTAGGTCGTTTGCAAAACAAAGTCTGTCGAAGTATTTAGTGCAATGTTGGCCTGATTTCAGTCAATGACCATCCTGCATTTTCAATATTTGTACACAGGTTAGTTTTTTACGACATTTGTCTATTTAACTCTATATAAAATTTATAATAGGAATATGGTCAAACGAAAGTGCAGAATAGGCCGTGACTACACCAGGCAAACATTATACACTAAAGAGTTGAGATTTCTACAAACTATATTCTGCAACCAGCAATCAAGGCATTTTGCGATGTACAGCACGCGCGTAATATAATTTACTACTATTTAAACCTAATCAGACATATTCCCCACATTATCCTCGTTACCAAACATTAGTCATCAAATCTATAACATAACAATTCGCATCCATTGGGATGACGTTTAACTGCTTTAAATAGGCCCTTAAACCAATCAAACCAAAACCTAGGACTCTAGTTTTGCATACCTGGACCAGTCGTGCGTCTTCTAGTAAGAGGTTCCAACTCGTTTTCAATATCTGTTCTGTGCTTTTTCCTCGCGATGTCCAGAGCAGTTTGATGCAGATTGTTGACCATATTACAATCAGCACCTTTCTTCAATAGTACTGAAACTGCAGTTTTATGTCCACTTAGTGCAGCAAGCATGAGAGGCGTCCATCCAGTCACACGATCGGCGTAATTCACTTCCGAGCCACACGATATTAGAAGACGAGTCATTTCGTCATGACCGTGTTGAACAGCGGCCATTAATGGCGACCTACAGCTTCGTTTATCTATTCCTTCCTCAGATTCATGACTCGCGATATTTACATCAGCGCCTTTGGATATTAGGAGTTCTGCAACTTGAATATGATTGCAACTCGCGGCGCATTGTAGCGCCGTCGCGCAAAGCCTGTTTGCGTATTTCACGTCGACTGAGTCCTGTTGTACTAGTGCAACAACAATTTGAAAGTGTCCATAATAGGACGCAACCATTAAAGGCGACCAACCATATTGATTACAAGACAGAGCAGGTTTCAGGCTGGCTCCCTTGCTTATCAAATAACGCACGATATTTTCGCGGCCATTTGCGCAAGCGTATATCAATGGTGTATTTCCATCCTCGCCAGAGTAATTTACAAGATCGCTATTCTCTTGCTTGTTTAAAAACAACTGCACGGCCTCCAAGTCGCCGTTTGTAACGGCCAAAATGAATTTTAAAGCTGCCATTGTGGAAGACAGACACGAAAGGTACAACGACGCGATTTATTTGACAAGATAGCCATTTAAAACGTCAGTTCCTAAATCTATTATCACAATAAGTAATTGCATAATACTCACTTATTCATAACTTGACAAACTTGTCGCACCTCTACACTTTGGTAAAAAAAGTTGTGTTGTAATATAATAGTAAATAAACATTTCAAATGGCGTAGTGAATTACCTATACATAAAGCGCCATTACAACACGAGCCTATACGAGCTGCGTTGTTATTGTCGTGTAATGAGGAAATTCTCCACAGAGACGGGAAATAACTGCCAATCTTTATACAGGATAGAAATATCTGAATAGACTCAAATTACATCCCAACCGCCTGCTGCGGTACGATACCTGCTAAGTATTGTCGAAGGAATAACAGGTACACATGTTCTGAAAGGCTGGAAACATCTTTCTAGTATGTCTCCATGGCAATACATATAACAATACATATACAATATTCCAATTGAAAAAATGTTTTGTAAATTAACACAAACTAAAATGTATTTAAAAATGTATTATATTGTTATTGGGTAAATCGAATTGATCATTAATAATTAATGTTTTCATAATTATGTTTTTGAGTAGAGATCGTTCTCAGCTTCATTACTCAGAAAATACTTCTGAGTCCGCGAGCGGGGATCAAACCCGAAACCACTTAGTTTCTATAGATATTAAGCGCGCGCTACTACTCTGCGCCACTGATTCAGCGAGAGGTTTTTCGCGATCTGGTTCGATGTTGTCTGCTTGTTGTGTAATAGTAGACGTGATTGTAATGTAAAAGTTTAATGAGTAAATATTATTCGCAAGCTTTGTTACTAAGAAAATAACTCCTGACTCCACTCCTCAAAAATAATTGTGTATTATGCACGTCTTCTGAGCAGGCTTTTAGCCAGAATGGCGTCCAGGCGTCCTGGGACGCCCCTAGAACGAAAAATGGACGCCTTTGGACGCCCAAATTCTGGGGGAAAAGGGAAATTATTTTCAATTGTTTCCCTAAGTATATTAATATATCTAAAACGAAATAGCTTCAATTCTCATAATTATTATACATTTGACATTTTGATCAATTTGAAGGTGTGCCTGGCTGAATGAAAATGTTGTAGTTAAGTAAAGAAGCATAACGGCACAAACTCACAAAGCTATGTGTGTTTGAAAAATTTCGAACGAGCTTGGAACAGACAATGACATGAAGTAACGTAAACTTCAAAGGTTTGCCAGAGGGACGTTTTCTCGAACCCCCCCCCCCCCCCCCCCCCCCTTTACTGTAGATGTATCGTTATACCAAAATTGGACGCCCTCTTTTAGAACCCTGGCTACAAGCCTGCTTCTGAAGTATCTTCGCCCATTATATACCAAGCTTATATAAACCTACTAGACTATTATTACATTGACACTGTCTGTGCCGGTGTAGCCAGGTAGTGCCAAAAGTATTAACAAGCAAGCTTTCATTGGTAGGGATGCAACTAGCCTGAAATATATAAGGAGAATTTCGACGTTTCGAACGAAGTCCTACCAAAGAAAGCTTATTACTTTAACATCACGTCTATAGTATTACACAACAATTATTTTATTGACTATTGCATAAGCCATAATTGACTTTTTGTAGAAACTATTACGTTTATTTGTTTTCATCAGTGCAAACATAACAGCGGCAGAAATGTATTTAATATATCTCAAACTCATTAATAATTCATTAGAAAGTAACCAGCCATATTACCCCAATGGCATATCATATTGCTTCATTGAGCTGCCGTGTTGTGCCTTTCTCACGCGGCCCACTAACAGTAACAACAGATAGTATTGCTACCCC